CCTGAGGGGGGGAGAGGCTGGCTCTCAGCAGAGCTACATCAGTGTTCCCCTTAGCCAAAAGACTCTGGCAGCTCCAGTTACTCCTGCAGGCGTTCACTTTACTGCCTTGCACAGCCTACAAGTACAAAATCATCTTCCTTCCTCCCTCTTAACTCCAGTTCTCCCTTCCAGGTTGCTCGGAAACTGGTGATCATAGAAGGAGATCTGGAGCGTACTGAAGAGAGAGCTGAGCTTGCAGAGTCGTGAGTAATCTGCTTGCATGCAACTGGCACGTCTACCTTTGCATGGGAACTAACATAGCATTTCTAACCTTGTTACACAAGGCCTGAAGCACAGGGTGGGCTTAGATCCTCAGATTAAAGAGTTAGAAGCGCTTTCCTGCTCGGAACAGGATTAGGTCCACTGAGGATGTGAAGCTTGCAATGATGTGATTTGCCTCGTTGTGGAGTTGTTCTGCCCCTTTGCATGGAGGGACTCCCTAGTTAGCGAGGCCGGAGAATCTTTCTCCATTTGCTATGCACCAGCACTGCTTTGTACATATGGTCACGAGATCCTTACACGTTGCTACGGGGCACGTGAGTGCACAGCACTTGTCCTAAAGCGGCAGAGGCCTCCTGGGCTGAGAGCTGAAGTGGCATGCGGGATGTCAAAGGGCAGAACAATGGCTGAGGTTGGTCTCTGGCCTCTTAAAATATTTGCAGTAACCACTACATACTCCTGCACTGCTAGGCAGCAAGCTGGACTTCCTCTGCTCAGAGCAGACACACAAATTGTGGCGTTTGGGCTCTTTTCACGTGTCTGGATGCTTTAGCTGATCCTTGAGGAGATGGTCAGGGCCTCTCTGTACTCTGGGCCTTGTCTAACAAAGTTGGTGTGTACGCAGCAGTAGTACTGTGCTTCCTGCCCAGACATGCATGTCATGACCATGACTTTTTTGTGTTTTTCCCCTACCCCCTTTTTGGCTCTGCGGTATTGTGTTATTGGTGCTCCTTTTGACCCTTGCCCCCACCTGGCTTGTGCCATCGTGTGACCGTCACTAACAGTCGTTGCCGGGAGCTGCAGGAGCAGATCAGAGTGATGGACCAGAACTTGAAGTGTCTGTCTGTTGCCGAAGAAAAGGTACTAACCTTTCCCTTCTCGAACCATTAAACCAGAACTCTTGTGGTCTTCTTGCCACGCTCCTTCCCTCAGCTTAACTGCGTCTTTCTCTCTCCTGGAGTGCTCTGTCCTCTCTGCCCATAAATATTCCTGTCTGAGTGGTGGTGGCTATCCATCTGTCCGTCAGAACAGCTTCCCTCCTTACAGCAAACTAAACATACAGTTTCCACTTGAAGACTCCAGATCTGCCAGAAATCTGTGTCCACATCTCAGCTGCTCAGCTCAGTGCCCTGCGCATGTGCTGGCAGAATACTTACCATATGAACTTGGAGGCAGGAAGGGAACTTGCTTTCCGCACAAGTGCCTCAAAGCAGGATCCCATCCAGTCTGATCGTAGACTGTCTCCTGAAGAACTTCCTGGTCTTCCCTGCACATGGATTCACTTCTTGTCTCTCCTGTCTTTCCCTCCCACTTCTTCTTTTCCTTTTTCTCCCTCCTTTCTTTACAAAACCCCACAGTAAATGTTCCGAGCTGGAAGAAGAGCTGAAGAATGTCACCAACAATCTCAAGTCTCTTGAGGCTCAGGCTGAGAAGGTAGGGCTGCTTGTCCAAGGGCCAGAAAAATTTCTGTTTTGCTACGAGGGTGTGTGACAGCAGAGCACCCACTGGGATGGAAATGACACAACTGCAGCCTTAAGCAAGGAAGGAGAGCTGCGCTTGCTCTCCTGGGAGAGCTAACGGATTTCAGTGCAGGGCTAATGTTGACTGTAGAAGCTGGGAGTGTGGGAAGTCTGGCTGCCCTTCCCTGCCTTGGGGCAGACTCTATCAGCAAGATGTTTATGCTGCTGGGATGAGAATTTTTCTGCACCCAAGTTTGTTGCGTGCATGATGTGGGATTTGCTGCCTGACCCAGTTGTGTTGGACTAGGGTAGGAATGTGAACAACTCCCAGCTGGAAGCTTCTGTGGATATGTGCACTGCAGTGAGGAGTTCAAGTCTCCCTCTGTAGCTGTGGGCTCTCTGGAGTGGGAGGTACCTGGGGCTGCTGATTGCTGACTCCTCTCCTCTTTCCATAGTACTCTCAAAAAGAGGATAAATACGAAGAAGAGATCAAGATCCTGACTGATAAACTCAAAGAGGTGAGTGACCGTGTTGGGATGGCCCAGCTGGGTGAGCTGTCCTCAGCTTGACTGGGGAGAGATGTGGAGGGTGGGAGACTTCATGCCTTCAGGCTGGTGCCTCTCTACTCCTTTGCTGTATCCTAAAGCTGTTGTACTAACTGGCTCTCTTCTGTCTGGCAGGCAGAGACCCGTGCTGAATTTGCTGAACGGTCTGTAGCCAAGCTGGAGAAGACCATTGATGATTTGGAAGGTACATTCTGGGGATGGGAAGCCAAAGAATGTGGTGAGGAGTGGGGAGCTGAGGAAGGCTGTCTCCCAGATAGCTGGGGAGTGGAGACACTGCTCTGCTCCTCAGTACTTGGAGCATGACCTAACCCAACCTCCAAAGTGAGGCTTGGTGCATCTGGGCTCAAGTCGTAACCTGTGTATCTACTCTGAAAACAGTTCCCTGGCTGTGCTGTGGCAGGTCTCATGCTCTTCATCCAAACACCTTGCCTTGTCTGACTGATAGTGACAGCACAGCTGGTGTATCTTGGTTGTGATGTCCTCAGGAATGTAACTGGATTCCAATGCTCCAGCTTAATCCAATTTAAGGATTAGCATAGGAGAAAAATGCCTGAACTCAGTAGGAGTTGGTTACAATAACATACTTGTATGCAGAATCTCATGCGCATGGCTGGCTGCTGCAGTGTGCCTGCAAGTCAACCACAGTAGTCAGTGAGTCTTGAAACAGCCCCCGTGAAGACTCGGACTCTCCAGTGTCAGTCCTGGTTCCAAGATTAAATCACCAGAAGATTCATCCATGCAGTGTGGTGGTCAGCCTGTGCCAAGGATGGGTTCCTTTCCTCCTCCCGTTCCTGGTTTCACAGTACTTCAGGAGCACTCCTGAGGCCGGCTGTTGCAGAATCCCACCTTTCCCCAAGCTGTGGAAGGAGAAGGTTCCAACTGCCTCCCTTTAAATCTGGGGCTGTGGCCAGATTCTTCTGTGGATAGCTGTGGCTGGAGTGGTTCTGTGGTAAAGCAAATCTCTTGCAGGCCTCCTGCCTTCACCACAGCATGAACCTTTCTGGTCTTTTAGTGCCAGGTCTTGGAGATTCAAAGCCACATCTTACTGTCTGGAGTCACTCAGGAGGTTTTTTTTAATCTAGAAATAGCAATGGTGTCAGCTGAGCTGTTCCAGAACTGCAGCCAAGCAGCAATCGGAGCCACCTCATGATCCAGGACAAGCTTTTATTTGGAACTGCAAAAACTCCTCCAATCCATGATTGAGAGTTGGCTCTGGTCTCCAGCCCTGCTGCTGAAGTGACCTAGTTTATGACAACTGACAAAGTTCTCTGGGCTCTGAAGCCGTTAACAACATTACTAGCTGTACTGTAGCCTAGGCAGCCAGAGCTGGGTGAAGTCTGTGCCAGCTCTGCGCAGTGCTCAAGGAGTGCATCAGTACAAGTTTCAGGACTGCCTCCTTCCCTGAAGGTGGGTGATCTGCCTGTCTGCTCCATTATGTGATGGAGAACACAGGGGTGGCCTGTCTGTTCGGCTCACCCTGTCTAGCTGTGTACTACAGAATGGGAATTCCCTCTGATGCCCAGGACTCTTACGTGACTGACTTCTCCCACGCTGCTCTTTCTATTGACACAGAAGGTGAGAACAAAGCACCACAATCGATCTGTGCCTTCCTTAGGTGTAGCGGGCTTCTCCCTAAGTGGATGGAGTTGCCCTTCCCTGCTGCTGCTCCTGTCAGTGGTTCTTGCTGACCTAGCTGGGCAGCTTGTTTTCGCAAGCTGATGTGGTTTGAGTTCTCGACTCTGCCCCCCTCAGAGCTGGCTTCTAATCCTGGAAGGCACTTGCTGGTCAGACTGTCCTCAGGCTGTTGGAACCCTCCTGTTCATTGTTGTGATGGCTCCACATCTAACTTCATTTTCTTCTGTTCATGAATCCCATACCGCTTTTCCTGCCCCAGGGTGTTGGAAGAACTCCTCTGCCTTCCCTCATTATTTCCCTTTTGTTCTCCTCCTAAACCTCTTCTAGATGAGCTCTATGCCCAGAAACTGAAGTACAAAGCAATTAGTGAGGAACTGGACCACGCCCTGAATGACATGACTTCCATGTAAATATGAGCTGGCTGGTGTTTGCCTCTTGCTTCAGCAGGCTAGACCGCCAGAGCTTGCTTGGTTTGCTGTGATTTTTCATAGTTGGAGAATCAATGGCACTGTTGTCTAGGTTACTTCTACAGATCTCTGCCTCGAGGATTGTGGAGGCTTCCCTGCAGCATGCTGTACTCTAACTCTAGGTCCTTGTGATCTGCATGTGTAACACTAAGTGCTGTGCTGGCCTGAAAGGGTTCTGACTTGAACTCTGTAAGTGCAATTCCCAGTCCCACTGGGAAAGGCTTCCTAAGGTAACATGGCTTAGTTGCCTGCTGGAGCCGCTGTGCCATGGTCTTGGGATTCCTCCTGGAAGAGGCTGTGGATAGCGCTTGAGTGGATTCCTTAGGAATTGCCATAACAGGCTTGAGATGGGACTGGATCATGAACTGATCTGTGGAAGTAGCTGAACTCATATGTTTCTGCAACTTTGCTACTTGGCTTTTTGTTCAGATTTGCAGTGGGTTCTGCTAACAGCTGCTCTACACAGTCCTTACCACTAACCAAGGAGAGGTCAGGTACTTGCACGGCGGAGGAAGAGCCTTAACGCTAGTGTCCGAAAGCTCCCTAAGCAAAGTTTGCTGTGCACAAACACTTAAGCTTCTCTTAAAATTAGTGTCTCCTTCTATCTCACACAGATAATTCTTGTGATTCCAAACTCCACTTTGGATTTGCCTCTCTGCTTGGTGGCTTGTTCTGCATCTGCACCCTGCATTCACGCTCTCGTCATCTCACTCTGAATTCCAGTACCTTTTTCCAGTTACTGTGCACAGGGCATCCCTGGGAATGAGTGCTGTAAAGATGCTGAAGCTTGACAGCAGCAGCAGCCCCCCAGTTATGCTGCACTTGCTCCTAAACAAAGCGCTCTCTGTTTGACCCGATGTGCCAGACAGTGCTGTGCTCTGAGGGGCTGCCCTTTCAATGTCTGGGTGTAGCTGGGAGTATGTTGTTCTCATCTGCATATCTTGTGTAGAGCCATAAAGCTCCTTTTGTATTTCTCTTGCCTCTTGCTTGAGCATGATGTCACTTTTCTTAAGGAAAACAATTCTTGTATAAATTGAATGGAACGGCTGGTGCTTTTGAGAAATGGGTTACTAGTGAGCACTTGCTGCTTTAGAGTAACTGTTTCAATGTTGCCTTCAAACCAGTGTAACCCTCATCACTCTTGGTGGAATACACAGACTTCATTAACACGCTGGATTTTTCCCTTTGGGTGTCTTACTGGCTCACGGATGTGAACTGCAGCTCTGCAGAGGGTGCCTTGGTGCACAACATGCTCTTGTAGGGTCACACAGGAGGCTGGGGTTTGTAGCAGGGAGTCCTTGAGCTGTGCCTGCTTCAGCCTGGCTGAAGACACTCCTGACGCCTGCCTGCTCTGTAGTGTTCGTCAGCATCTGTTGCCAAATGCTGGCTTGCAATGGGAAATCACCACACCTGATAGTCACTAGGTCACTGGCAGGGTGTGAAAACTAATAAATATCGAGTGAGCTCTGGCTGGTTTCCAGTTGGACAGGACTGGTTGGGTGTGAGGTGCTGCCTGTGTCTCAGGGGGATGATGTGTGGCCCCTTGCTTCAGGAATGAGAATGCACTGCAGTAGGGCTGTGGGCATCCGAGCCAGGGAATCTGTGTTTTGCAGAGTCCTGCCCTCTCTGTGCAGGGGCTGAGAGTGACAGGATCCTCCTGGGACTGTGGCATGGAGCTTTACACGGAGCACTGCAGCTGGCTGCAACACTTGACGTGCGTCACCACTGGTCTGAGTGGATTGCTAGTTGCCCTGGTATCACAAACACTGATCAGCTTCTCGTAACTGTATGTGCTGCCTCATGGTGGCTTGTCAAATACTTTTTTCCTTTCTGGATTGGTTCATCTGCCACAGTGCCCGAAGAGCCCTTCATGAACAGAGTTTTGATGAAATGGGACACCTCCCGTGGTTTCCTCAGGTTTGTGTCACTCCGTTCACCACACAAATGGCACTAGCAGTAAGGATAGTCCAGACATGCTGAGCTGCCCCAGCCTGTTCTCACCCTGTCTTCTGTGTCAGGGCTATCTGCTCTCTGCCGGGTCTGGGTGGGGAAGGAGGGAGCATTCCCACAAGGAATTTCAAAGGGTAATAGCTTGGAAAGATCTAGCAGATGGTGGTCTGAGTCTCCTGGGGTATGGGGCAATAACTGTGCCCTGCAAGCACGAAGCAAGAACCTGTAACTCCTCAGAAACCAAACCTGCAGCTGGAGTAGGGAGTCTAGATCCTGAGGGAGAGGCAGGGCTTCTGTCACAAGTGTCAGTGTGTGTGGAGGCTTCCAGCCTAGTGTTCAGTTGCCAGCTCTTACCAGGTGGGAGGTGGCACCCTGCCCGTGTGAAATGGCCTCTGCCCTCATGGGAGAGCTGTGAGTTTATTACTGACTCGCACTGTGTGGACCTGGTGGCTCTGCCGTTGCACAGTCGTGTTGCAAGTGATGTTATCGAAGGCTGGGCTGTGGCAAGCCCTTTCCCTGCTTGTCCTGATGGAACTCCACGCTGGGTGGTAGGTGGATGGATGGGTGGGTGATGCAACTTCTGCCCTGGGGGGTTTTGAGAGGCTTCTGGTCTGACTGGATTGCTAGGCTTGTGCAGGCTGGTTACTGTGAGCTGGGCTGTTGACTCAGGAGTGCTGCAAATGCAGATTAGCTGACCAGGAGATGCAGGTCCTGGAGCTCCCTAGGTTGCAAGGATGGCTGGTAAGGCTGCCCTGTGGGCTGGGTGGAGAAGGGAGCAGGCCGAACACTGGAGCTAGCCCCAGGAGACCTGGGCAAGCATTCCATGTTGAGGAGCTGTTCCTGAGGTCTAGGAAGGGTCATGCTAATCACTTCAGTCAGCCTGTTCTCTCATCTGGGTAGATCGTCAGGTCCTTATCTACAAGCAGTAATGCTTGCTTGCAGGCTGCAAGCTGTTGCACCAGCCTACAGTTCCTGGTACTTCTGACTGCAGTTCACTCCCATCCTCTACCACTCTGGAAACCCAGGACCAGCCCTGATCACCTGCGTCTGGGGACTGGCATCAGGGTGCCCAGCCTACCTGCTCAGAGCCAGCATAGAGGCCAGAGAGCAAGTCCCTAGCAGCAGTAGTGGCTGATGTGCAAGGCAGGCTCCCGTGTAGGGCAGAATGGACCGTACCTACACCACAGCTTTCCTCAACCTCTAGTTAGGTTGCAGTTGGACAGAAATTGTTGGCTTCTCTGGCTGTTGCTTGGTCCCCCAGTGGCTTTAAAGAAGGGACAATCAATCAGCATTACTACTCTCTGTCCTGCGGAGTGAGGTGCAGCTAGAGCAGGAGCTGAGGGTAGCTGGGTGAAGCTGAGCTTTCCCCTTTGTGTGTAGCTGTCATGCTGGAGGGACTGGGCTGAGTTGCTCTGGAGAGGGAGACCTGTTTTGTCTGCTCCATGTGAACTGCTTGACTCAGTGTCCTGAGTCTTACCTGGCCAGGTCTTGTCCAAGAGCAAAATATTCCTAGGTTGAAAGCAATGAGGAATGGTGTAGATCCCCTTCAGAGGGTGCCCAAGGTTCCTGGGGACATTGTAGTACAAGGATTTGAGAAGAAGACTAACACCAGGAAGAATTGTTGTGCTTTAGGCTTGCTCATCAGGCAGAGGCAGCACACTGTGTTTATCACTACAGTTTGTGATGATTAGTTCTGCCAGGCTGGAAGCTGTCATTTAAGGATTTTTCACTGCCTGGAATTCCCTCAAGTGCAGGAATTGGAGTTGACAGGTTGGGAGGACCCTGTCTGTGTAGATGGGCAGAGACAGATGCTGAATTGGTTCTCTGCAGTGGCTGGTTGTGGCTGACAGGCTGCATGGCAGGACAGTGGCCATCTCAGTCCTGGGAGAGGATCAGACTGGTTCTCCCTTTCCGTGGAGTTGCTGATGAGCATATCTGCTTGGTACCAGCCTTGGGGATAAGTGTGGCCACTAGAGCCCTGCGAGGCTGTAAGGACAGGGACTAGGTGGGAGGTGAAGGCTGTCAGATGCAATGGCAGTTTGTGCCCCGCTCATTTAGTTGTTCTGGGGCAGGTGTAAAATAGGAGACTGCTCCAGAACTTCCTCTGTTCTGTGCCCAAAGCAGATACTGCCTTCAGTCCTTGTCTAGGTGTGGTGGGTTGTTAGCATGGCACAAAGGCATGTCCCCCAGGTCAGTGAGATGCTGTCATTCTCCGTTCTTCTGGTGTCCCTGTCCTACTGTTAAAACCCCATCGATCTCACTGCTGTGGTGTGGCTCACTCTGGAAGGTGCTTCTGGTTCGGCTGTGGTAGGACTACTTCTTTCTGCAAAGTGCTCCACAGGCTTAAAGCGCATCACAAGTCTCTCTCCTTACCTGGGTACAGCCCAGTCGAGCCTGCAGGCTCCTCTTCTGGTGTTCTCCTCTTCCTTTCTTTGCCTTTTTGCAAACCCTTGGCAGCACTTCCATTTCTGTCCACACTTGGTTTCCTCTGTGATCTTCCTGAGCTGAAACACAAGTAAGACAAACCTTTGTTCTCCACAGCTTTACCTGTGTAATAGTCTAGACTTGATCCTCAGAGGCACATGTAATGGAGACAGCTTATTTGATGTGCTCATCTTGGTACTCTACTAACCTTCCCTTTCTCTCTTTTTCTCTCTTCCTCTTGTTTCCCCTAATCCTGTTGCCGCTGCAGAGCACCTGTACAGCCAGCTTGAGAAAAACCGCCTGCTCTCTAATGAGCTGAAGTTAACGCTGCATGATCTGTGTGACTGAGAAGGGGGCCCACTAATACCATTAAACAAGCTTATTGCGACCACCAGTGCTGTGGACCACAGTGAAATCTGATCATTCTTAAGACTGGCAGACTTGCAAATTTTATGCAACTGCTGCTATTTAATGGGGCACTTGAATTTATCCTCTAATTTATTTGAGTGGGTTTTTTTATAAAGGTCACCTCTATTCTTGGTGAAGTAACCCTCAGACTTGGCTGGTTTTTGAGCAGTCTTGTTCACTTGTCCAGGGGGTCCTGCCTGGGTCCTCCATGGAACCAGAATGGCTGCACCCACCAAGAGAGGGGTGGGGTGAAGTTAGGCTTATGTCTGCTAGAAGATGCCTGTGAAGTGCTACAACTTAATTTACTGTTAGCTGAATGACTGTAGGATTTCCTGCTGCATGGAATGATGGCTTCTAACAATAAATGACCGACCCTGTGGTCTGTAAGACACTGCACACCTGTAGTACTTTGCTATGTAGTTGAGTCCTAACCTAGAAGGTTTGGGGGAAGCAGTCATTCCTGGGGCCTGGCCCCAGTGCGGCGGCAGAGCCCCAGAATGGGTTGGGAAAGCTCATGGACATCTTGACAGCAAGTCCCAAAGTCCACAGCATGAAGCTGTGTCTTGAGTGCCTGCAGGGAGTCTTTAAACACTGCAGTTGCTAGTGCTCTAGGAAGGCTGCTTCTCGCTCTGTGCACAGTTTCGGACCCTGGGGAGGTTGGGGAGCAGCTTTGAGAAACTGCCTGTACCTAAAGGACATCTTTCTACAGCCTGTCTGTCCAGTGTCCCAGCGTGTGGATCTCTTCAGTGATAAGGGTGGGCTCACCTTTGGAGTAAAGCCTACCTAGAGTGCTAGTTGCTGATCTGAGCTCTCCTCCTGGCTTAAGGAACATGTGAGAATCGACTGTGCAGCTGCCTGTAGTCTCGGGCAGCGTTGCAGCACCCTTGCTCCTACTTGCTCTCTGCCTGCCCTTCACTGAAAACAGCCTCTTCCCTGCTGTCCTTGAGGCATGGTTGTCTGCTCCCTGCTGCTAGGTAGTCACGGTCTCGGTGACCAGCTTGGCCTCTCTGTCCTGTGCTGGGGGGAAGGGGGGCACAACCAGCTGTGATTCCGGGGGGTGATTTCTAAGTGTTTTACCTCAATGCTGCTCTTGGGTGCCTTGCTGGGCCACGGGGGTCTGCTGTCTGGAAGTGTTGAAAGCCCTGGGGAAAGCTAGCTACAGTCGGAGGCACCTGCATGCAAAACACTGCCTAGAGCACTGGCTAAAAGTACATCGTGACCGTGCCGAACGGGAGCACCGGCAATGCGAGAGGCAAGGGCTACAAACGAGCCAGGTAACTTCAGAGCTTCTAGCTGCACCCAGCCAGGCACCCCCGGTCTGAGGACTTGCTGTGGCAGTGTGCTGGGAAGGGGCTAGCGCAAGCTTTCTTTGGCGAAGGTTTCTCGGTTGTCTGAAGCTGACTTGTAACTCTTGACCCTTGCTTCCTGCCAGATAAACTGAAATCCACCAAAGAGGAGCATCTCTGCACGCAAAGAATGCTGGACCAGACCCTGCTAGACCTGAATGAGATGTAATGGATCCCTGCCACTGCCTCTGCCACACGATACCTGGAGGGGCCAGCCCAGCCACTGCTGGCCTCTAACCCTTGGGGACCAGAGTTTACTTTCTGTTGCCAACTTGACCAAACACAAATCTTCTCCTTCGCCTCAGGGTTAAAGGCCATCAGGTTGGGCAGAGCTTCAAACAGCATTATTAAGGGAAATAAACAATGCAATAATGTTTGAGGAGCATGTTTGAGATGTATACATTTTGTAACTACCTTTTTTTGTAGCAACCATTGTAAACATTCCAAATAACTCGTGAGGCTGGTGAGCTACACTTCAAAGCTCTTGGCTTTAAAATTCGGTATTAACCTTCTGTTAAATCAGCTCTGGGCCACCCTGCTTTGGCAGGGGAGGAAACAGGGTGTGATGGTTCTGGCTGTGGGCCACTGAATCAGAGTAGCTGGGCTAGGGATGGAAGCCTGTTGGGGAAAATTTGCTTTCTAGGAGCTGTTTGCCAAAAGAGGAGTTCAATTGCTCAGCTTTAAGGTAACTCTCTCTGTTGTGCAGAAGCAACTTGGGTGAAAGGAGACTTTTTTTAAAGCCAAGCCTATTATCTGAACAATTGAACCTTCACAGGGGTTGTTTCCCTTCCCTTCCCCCTCACTGTTGATCACTTCCTCTCCTGGTAGCCATGGCCCCTCTAACCCATTGCTACACAGGGGTTGAATTTGCCTTCACTAAGTGCTGATGCACCAAGCTTTATCGCTCATTGCTGGGTTACACTTAACAGCTTAAGTACAACAGCCTTGTTTTCTTGAAGTTTTTTTGCCTACCCTGAGGGAGGGAACTGAGGCCTTCCCTCCTGGCCAGGAGTGCTCTTAGTGTCTTAATAAGGTACAAGCCATCTTGCTGTGTATTGCTGACGTGTAGTTATTGTGAGGTGTGAGTGTGGAGGTGTGTCAGGCTCGCGGTATGTGGCTTGTGGTTTGAGCATGCTGCTTGGTTGTAGCAGTTTTAGGGGCCAATCTGGACAAAAGAACCCTATCAAGTGTTTTGATACTAAATTGAAAAATTGTCTTACTGTCTTTTGAAATAAAAACCAATCCCTCCACGCTGCTGTCTGGCTGCAGAGCTTTATTGCGTGCGAGCTGCTCTGTCGGGGCCTGTGGGGGGAGGAGGGGGCGTCTGAGGACCGGGGCCTGTGCCTGTCCCTCAGGAAGGACACTGGGCGTGGGGTAAGGCCAGGCTTGCCTGCTGCTTCCCGGGGCCAGAGCGCAAAAGT